AATTGCCAAGACACATAAAAAGAAAGAGTTAGAGGAACATCAGTTTCTGGTTCTGCCTTCTTCTGAGGATTGCCATAGGTCCATTAAAAATAAAAACCCTCATAGTATTTTTCCTTTTGCAAATTCTACATGTAATATTCCTTGAGAATATTAACAGGTAAATTTTGACCTGTGTTTCTACTAATTGTACAAAGTTTTTCAAAACCCTATTCCACATATCTAAACTGTAAGGGAAAATAATGTAGTAACATAACATAGATTTGTGGTAAAGTTAAATTATGTATGTGTATTTCATAAGTATATGCAAAGATATATCATACAAATGGGTGTATATATAATTGAGTATGCATGTATATATGTAAACATAAAATAAGGTATATATAAGTATCTGCAAATACATAAGTGAAGAATATAAAATGTTCCTCACTTCACTTCATCACTAGTCTATGAGCTAAATACACACAGAAACTCACCCCTAAAACAATAGTATTGCCTAGTATTTAGTCAATTTTTGCCATAGTACACTATGAGAAAAAAACATAAAGTAGATGCATAAAGTAGATCCTATCTTACAGTTATTGGTGATGTTCTCTATGAGTTACTGAGCAAAGCACAACCCAGACCAAGTGCCTTTCTCTCCAAGATGAGGTCATTAAGCCCAATCCTTCTATTTCTCTAAGTTTTTAGGTGCCATAAGTTGGACTTCCCAAACAATCCCTTCTAAGAGTGGCACTGAAGCTCAGAGAATGTCCATTAGCCTTGCTCACCAGACTATTCTCACAACCTGTAACAAGTCAGAGAAGAGGTATAAGGTGTCTTTTGGTGTACACCATTCACTGAGCTATGCTCTCACCTCTGTAATGCACTTCAAGGAAAAATAAGAGAACAACAGAGACAGTAGGCCTTGTCTTATTAGCTTTTACTTGAATATTTTTCAAATAAAACCCATTTTGTGTCTATATTAATTCCAAGAGCTGCTGTGCCAAAATGTCCCAAATGGAATGCTTAAACAACAGATATTTGTTGTCTAGCAAATCCAGAGTTAGCAGGGCCAGGTTCCCTGTGAAGATGTTGGGAAATAATCTGTTCCAGACCATCCTTCTAGCTTCTAGTATTTTCTTGATACATGGAAACAGAACTCAATATTCACATGGCATTCTCCCTGTATGCATGTCTATCTCTATCTTTATCTCCAACCTTTAACTCTTTATAAATACACCTGTCATACTGGTGTAGGGCTCACCTTAATGGACCTATCTTAACTTGATCATCTTTAAAAACTGTATTTCCAAATAAGTCACATTCACACTTGCTGGAGATTAGGGCACAGGAGAAGAGAAGGACACAATTCAACCTACACCAGTATCTATACTAGATGATCCACTGTTTTTGCCTTCTTCCATCATTGAAATGCTATTAATTAGGCAAAGAAGGCTACTGTATTCAAAATTATTTTCTATACTGACATGTAAAAGTGAATGACTGAAGGATAAGAATATAAATGAAAATAAAGCAATTCTTCAAAGATTTGGCTTCTGTTCTCAATGAAGAAGTGCTTTAATTATGAGAGGAGGTCAAATGTCATCGTTAGTTTGTGCAGATATTTACATATTAAGGAAAATATACTTAGCCCTATGTATCCACAAATTCTGAACCTGCAGACGTAACCAACCACATATCATACGAAATTTTTAAAATTGCATCTGTACTGAACCTGTAGACTTTTTTCCTTTTCATTAATTACTAAGCAATACAGTGTAATAATAATTCATGAAGAATTTGTATTGTATTTGGTATTATAAATAATCGAGGGATCATTTGAAATATATGGGAGGGTATATGCAGATTGTGTGCAAAGACTGTCATTTTGTATATAGGGTTTCTATAGGGGTTGGACAGTAGAAATCCTAGTACCAATGCCTTGAAGATACCAAGGAATAACAATATTTTAATCACTCTAGGTGTTAAAAATACAAACATGAGTAAGACATATAACACCTGATCTTGAGGCACTCCATTTTGGCAAGGAAAATAGAAAGGTATAAGATAAGTTATATTGAATATAATTATAAAAAGATTAATGGAATTGCAAACAAATTTTATTAGAGTACAGATGATCAAAATATTAAACCTATTTTGATGGTAAAGGAAAACTCCATAAGGATATGAGTATCATTCAGTCAACAGTGGAATGCAAGTAAAATGACATTTGAGCACATCTCTGAAAAATAAATAAAATTTTATGTGATACAAAAGAAGAAGATGCTAATTTATATACTTAAAGAACATTAACAAAATTGGAAGTTATAATTAATATCACCTGCAAATATTCTCAAAATAGTATGTCATATCAATTTAAATGCTAAATAATTACACAAAAATATCCTGTAAGTAGGCATTTTGATTGTCAATAGTACACATTTTCTTTTAACTTTTTCCCATACTAAATTAAGATGATTTTTGTCCTGCTCCATGGCCCCTAACCCCAATATAGAAATATCATTCTGTTCAACCAAGCTCACTTAGAACAACTGATCCATAACTGTAAAGTTCTTCATAACTTTCCACTGTGAGGAATAATAGTAATAAGGTTTCCCATTTTCTTTCACTCCTCTTCCCTATTTCTGTCTCAAAACTTTACTTTCTTGTTGTTGTGCTGAGTGGCGGTACATTGTGGCATTTACAAAAGTTCTTACAATATATCAAATATATCATATTTGAATTCACTCCCACCTTTACTTCAAAATTTTTGATTGCTGTATGTACACTTTATATTGTCAAGAGTGGAAATAGCTATATTGCCTTTTATAACCATAATCAAACTTTCAATGATTTGTCCATAGGTAGACTCCAATTACCAAAAATTTGCAAATATCATTTACATTATTGCAGCTATGCAATTATGATTCACTGCAGGGGCAAGTATTTTGATATGAATATATTAGACTCTAAATTTCAAATGCCTTAAGCCCTCTGCTACTCAAATGGGAATGTTCAAATGGATTCTCTACACTTCACTAATTGCTCAAAACCAAGCCAATTTAATTCACTTCATATTTGGAGCATGATTTTCTTGTTCTATTTGCAACCTTTTATTTTCAAATAACTCCAGACTCAGAAATATTGAAAAACAGAACCTGAGAGTTCATTTGTACTATCTAGCCATCTTTACCAACAGCTTTAGATAATGATAATAAATTGTCAAAACAAGGACAATAGCATTGCTATAGTACTTTCAAAGAAGATATAGGCCATACTTGAATTTCATCAGTTTCCCCTCAAATGTCCTTTTCTTTTTCCAGGACACAAACCAAGATCCACATTGCATCTATTTTCTCACTTCTCACTATTCTCATCTAATCTGTGACAGTTCTGAGGGGAAGATTGTTTTAAGTATTTCTTTATGTTCTATGACCTTGAAACTGTTGATGAGTATTAGTTCTTTTTTCTATAGAATACCTGCCAATGTTGATGTCTGTGCTTCTCATGAGTAGATTACAGTTATGCACATTGGCGAGAATAGCACAGGCCTCAGGAGTGTGTGCTCTCATTCACGTGTACGGGATACCAATCATTATCAGTGCTTCTAACCTCAATCATTTGCTTAAGGTAGTGTCTGGTGAGTTGTGGCTCTGTAAGTTATCATTTTTCCTTTTGTATGTGGTCAATATTTTCAGGCAATCCATTGAGACTGTAAAAATATTTCAATTCTCCTCTAAGTTTCAACCACCTGCTGGCAATTTAATAGTTCTCTCATTTCTTCTGCATTTCTTAACTGCAATTCTCTGTATGGGAGAGCTCTCTCTTTCCCATTACTTAAATTTTATTCAGTTATTTATTTATGTTAAGATGAACTATAGAATCTTTATTTCACTCTATGGCTTATAACACAAAAATGCCGCCATATTTTCCTCAGTTACCCAAACATCTCCATGTTGACCATTGCTGTATCCTTCCAGCTGTACTTGTGTCTTTTTAACTTGAACCTACTCTTTCTCAAACACTTCCTTATTTAGGGAAAAACAAAATTTTCTGTGCATATCTTATATTTTCTCTCCCAAGCTCCTTGATTCCATTTTTTCCTCCAAGGAACCCAAGTACATTTTATCAGAGGATGATATTTAGCAATCATATTTGAGCACTGGATGTTACATGTGGCATAATGTCTCCATGATCTAGCATTGGAGTTTTGTTGTTGTTGTTGTTTGTTTGTTTTTGTTGCTGCCATGATGCATGGACATCAGATTCCATATTCTTTAGCTTATGAGCCTGGGCTTGCACCAGTGATTCTTGGCAATTCTGATTCAGATTGGGTCTAATCATTTGGTCTTTTGTGTCCTGAGTCTTCCAGCTTCTTGGACTGGGAAGTCACTAGCTTCTTTGGTCTCCATCCTCCAGATAGCCACTGTGTGACTATTCAGCTTAGATTATGTAAATTAGTCTAATAAATTTCCCTCTTATAATTGTACTTGCATTTTGTTGATTCTCTTCCTCTGGAAAATCCTAACACAACAAACAAGTCACACACACACACACATAGACATATATATATATATGAGAGAGAGAGCGAGAGAAAGACATATACATAATGTCCATATCTCTCTATCTACCTTACTTTCTTAGGGTGAGACACCAGGTACAATTCAACCAAAGGCAAATTGCTTGCTAAATGTTAATCTGTGAAATATCAAAATTATGTGCTTCCAAAGTACAGTAGTGGGATAGACATTCAATAGACATTCCTATTTCACAAGGGAGAAATAATAAATAAGGAAGGAAGAAATTGGTAACTGGTCCCAAATAAACTCAAAACACAGCAGGGCAAACAATAAATTATAAAGCTAGAAAATAATGTTTGACTCCATGTCTACCTTCTGGGCACACTGGAGGGAAGAAGTGGGCCTATAGGGCTCCATGTAGCCTTGCCCACATGGCTTTACTATGTACCACTCAAACTTGCACTCTCATTGGTTGTTGTCTTGTGTCTATGACTCTCTCAGGCTGGAGTGTGGTGGTGACCCTGCCTCTGTGGCTTCTCTGGTAGGAAATTTCTATGGTGGTCTTTTCCTTATAGCAGTTGTGAGGACAATAAATGTACACTTTTGCTACTTTTTGCTGTCGCTAGCCACTTGCCAATGGTCACTTCTGTTTTGGTTTGTTTTTATTTACCAGGAAATATTTATAAGTCTCTCTTTGTGCCTACGCTTTACATATGATTCATTAATGATTGGTTCTTTGAAATCTCTCTTGATGTGACCAGACCTGCCTACATTTGCAGTAGTCAAGATTTAGTGTACTTGCTAAAAATCATATTTGGACACCATTGTCATCACACCCCTCTAACTTTCTTACATTATGTTTCAGTCCTTCCTCATCATCACCATGTACCAAGCTTGGCTTGATGGGAGATGAGGCAGCAGAATGACACATCATACATATCCATTCCATTCTATTTACTAACGCTGGAGTTTCGACCTTTGCTGTCTTTAAGCTAGGAAGAAGACTTTTTTTTCACAAAACTTCTATTTCCCTTTTTTTGTTCATATGCCTTGGGAGAGTATTTGGGGAGTACTTAGATTGTAGCTCCTATTATCATCAGCTACTCACAAGTCTAGGCTCATGTACCACATGTATTTATTTTAATATTTCAGATAGCTGAAGGGTCTATTGCCAGAAGAAATTCAACAGCAGATAGTCCCAGAGACTTTCCACCTTGTCCTCAAGCGAGATGACATCTGTAACTTCTTAGAGGGCATCAGTTTGGTGCGCCTGACTACAAACTGATTTACCAGCACTATGCTATTCTCTACTTTGTATTTTGTGTGGACGCATACAAAAGTGAACTTGGGATCTTGAACCTCATCCAGGTTTTTGTGGAGACTCTGGATAAGTGTTTTGAAAATGTGTGTGAGTTGGACTTGATTTTTCATATGGATAAGGTACACTACATCCTCCAGAAGGTGGTGATGTGCGGGATGATGTTGGCAATAAACATGAACGAAATCATGTCTCAGATCGAGGCTCAGAAGAAGCTGGAGAAATCGGAGGGTGGCCTTTCTGCAGCCCCTGTCCGGGCTGTGTCTGCTGTGAAAAACATGAACCTGCCAGAGATTCCACACAATATCAACATCGGTGACCTCAACATCAAGGTCCCCAACCTGTCCCAGTTTGTCTGAGGGTGGAGGATTGGGCTGAACTGGAGTCCTTCAGATGAGCAAAGCCAGTCAAGTCTGGAAGCAGAACCACTGGGCCTTAGAGGAGTGGAGCCTCAGGACTTTCTGTCTGAGAAGAGCGTTTGGCATGGAGTGGGAAGGAGCTGAGGTGCACATCCATCGGGCTTGCTGAGCCCTCCCACCACAGACCTGCTTTCTCATCCACATGGCTGCCTAGGCACTGCTGCAATCTGGGACTGGGGGCTTATGGAGCAGGCCTGCTTGCTGTACAGAGTCTGCCACTAGACAGAGCATGTTCCCTGACTGGAATCCTCCTCAGCACCACAGGCTTCCACGGTCCTGTAGCACTCACTTGTGGTGAGACACTGTGGAGTATGGTGAAGGCAGGGTTATGGGAACCACAATCACCTGCTGGCTCTGTGAGAGTCGTCATACTTAGAATCCTTTTGTTTAGTTAAGCTTTTTTGGGCACCGCCTGCTACAGTCATTCCCCTCACTGCATATTGCAGGTGTCTCTGCAAGACAGTCCAAATCATACACCTGATGCATGCCAACATACATGTGCCAATAAGGAGGCATCCTCCCACCTGGCAGAGATGGCCTCCTCCCAGAGCAGAGAGGCCCTGAGTCTGTAGAAGGTGAAAGCTGACAAGGAGCAGATGGTCCCAGAATTACCACTCCCAAATTTAAAAATCCTTCCTCCTGGGGACAGAAGGTTCAAGTGCTATGTTGTAAATGATAGCCCCCATCAGGAGGAAGCCCACTGTCCTTTTGTCCCACCTTCTAAAGCCTGACAGCTCGGACTGTGGCCCCCATGGGGGCCGGACTAGCACTTACTGGTCAAGGCTTTCCTCAGGTGACTTCTCCCAGGGCTTTGGAAACCCATGTGTTTCTTCCTGTGCCTCCACTGGAGCTAAGGATGCTCTCAGAGTAGGGCTGCTGCTCCACACTTCCCGAAGGCGAGCTCCCAGGATTGGCCTTGCTCCTTGAGATAAGGAGCTGAATGGGTGTGCGTGGGAGTCTCCCAACTGGAGACCCGCACTGTTTTCTCAGGCCTCCTGATGCTGTTGCAAAGCAAAGCAGAGGTGGCGCCCAGCAGGACTATGTGTCTGGCCCGTAACCTTTCACTTTCAAACAATGCTTCCTGCGCACTCTGCCAGTCCAGTCTTGGCTTTTTCAGCACCTCTAAGGTGACCTTGGAGGCAGCGGTTGACTAGAAAGCAGGCTTCTGTGAAGTTGGAGAGGGGATGTAGGCGAATAGATGTAACGGAATACCCTAATGTCTGTCTCTCAAAGGTTTGATTTGTGGGGGTGGGGGGAAGGAGATCATTTTCAGCAAGTTCAAGTCCCTTTCACATTTACTGAATGAAAAATTGGAATAAAAGAAAGTAAACAGAAAAAAAAAGATTGTTTATTATGAAAATTTAGGAAGTTCAATGAGACATTGATCAGAGGAGTGGCAATATTTGACTCAAATAATAAAATCTTTCTGTTTGGAAAATGGACAGCAAAGCAACAAGAATGCAGGAAAAGAGACTTTACTTTCCTGCTCAGCTATTTCCAAATATCAGCTTGCACATAGTACTTTTCTTTCGCTTTTTCAGTAAAAAAAAAAAAAATCTGCATATTCTCTTAGGTGTTCTGATTTTTAGTAAAATCCACAAAATATGAACATTTCCATGTTTAATGGCACACAGCATGAAAGCCCCTTGAGCAAGGAAGACTTGAAGTTGTGCCAGGATTCTAGCAGGGAAGCTCACTGAAAAATTGCTAGGGCTGGATTTGTGTTGAAAGAAATGCAGAGTAGTAACAGGGCTTTCTCAGGTCTACAGTACAAATTTGAGAATTCTGGTGGATCAGAATTTGGCCAAATTTACCACAGTATGGAAATCAAGTATTAGAATACACTGAGCATTGTTTCCTATCCCCTACAGTGCATAAGAATTAATCCACGTGGTGTTACTGCACAGAAATTTGGCCTCAACTTCATGTGAAAATATTTCAGTGTAGCTACTTACTTTTGCAAATAAAGCATAGAAAAGTGTATACATTTCTTCATTCCTTTTGAATACTTCAATAAATCATAATCCATGTGAAATTTTGCTTAGTTTCTAAACTGTGAAAACTTTCAATCTAAGTTTAATAGTTGTTACCAGACAAATGGTTAACTAGTTAGTCCCTAAAGCAATCCTATATGAATCCTAAATCAAATATTCAAAAATTAGGCAGAAAAACCTTGTCAAACAATATTAATGGATTCAAATACATATAATTGATACTGGTTAAAAGAATTTAAGAAAATGTAGTCTGGACATATTTATTTATTTGCTTTTTTTGAAACATGGTCTTGCTGTGTAGCCTAGGCTGGCCTCAAATTTTCCCTGAGTGCTAGGTTTGTAGGTAATACACCACCACTAGACCTGGTTTAGAAGTCTTTATTGTTAAGAGAAAAGTTTTGGAACATCACTATGTCTAAGTTAGTTTTCTATAGCTGTGACAAAACATTTGAAAAGATCAACTTCAAGGAGGAAAGATTTATTTTATGGTTCAAAGGATTTAGACTCTGATCATTTGGCTCCATTGCTTTTGTACCTGTGCGTGGTGAAGCAGAATGACATAGAGGGGAGGGAATGTGTGGAGCATAGTCTCCCCTCATATTGGATGGGAGACAGAGAAAAATGGATGGATTGAAAGTGCACCCCCAGTGAACTACTTTCTCCAACCAGGCTCCATCTCCTAGGTTCTACCACTTCCCAAAATGTCATCATATTATGAAGTCATCAATAGATCAATCCATTGATTAGGTAAGAATATTCTTGATTCAATTGCTTCTGAAAAGTCGATAACCTTGCAAAAAAACCTTCAACACATGAGCCTTTGGGGACATTTTACATCCAAACTATAATAGTACAGACCCGTCACTGCAGCCTCCAGAAAATTATGGGGGTCAGAGTACATAATGTACTCTGGACATATTAAACGGTTGGGCAAATTTTGTAGAAAGTTTCTCACCATCTGGACCTTGGTTTTTCTCTCAATTGATATCAAACCTATTTGTCATTCAAGACTGCTTTCTGCCTCAAACAAATAACCTAAAGGAAATAATCACCAAGGTAATGTAACAGTGACTAGTTAGGAATATTTTGATACTTTCATACTGTTTGTCTTTTTATTTTTTAATTTTTATTGCTTGACTTTTATTTTTAATCATCATTGAGGAATAATATATAGGTTTTTAACTGTACAAAATTTCACAATTTCATCCTATCTGGATAACCAGCTCCCATATCAAGAACGAGAATATTATCTAGTTTTATTCCTTGGTTATTATCCCATGAGAAAAAAAGCTGTTTATAAATCCCTAGTCTGCAGATCTTGTCAACTACTAATCTCTGGGATTGGCTAAATTCCTCAGGGAAATATCCTACAATATTTTCAGTGGAGGCTATCTTCCCGGATCTCAGCCTGAGGACAGTTGGCAAATTATCTAACCCTTCTCAATATCACACTTCATTCTCATCTTCAAATGTGCTCCATAGCTAATAGTCTAGAGTGACTTTACCATCTCCAAAAAATAAACTCAATTTTCTTTTTTCCTGTGTTGGAATAAGTCTATAGTCCAACATGACACAACGATGAGGGATCTGAATTTCTTGTCGCTTCTTAATCAATCTTTAAAATAATCCTCCTAATTTAGTATTTCTTTTCATATATGCTGCAAAAACTTTGCGCACATGTGTGTAAATTCAAAATTGTACCTGTTGAAACTATTCCAGGAAGGGGGGAAGGGGAGATAAAGGAGAGAAGTGGAGGGGGTGAATTCAAGTATATATTTGATACATTGTTAGAACTTTTGTAAATGCCACAATGTGTCCCTCATCCAGAAAAACAACAAATTTAAAAAAGTGTTTTCTCCCCCCCAAATCTGAGTCCTCAGGAGATTCTGTGATGCTATTCTCAGTTTTCCTTTTAGTGTAGTACTCAGTTCTTAGGTCAAATATGCTAATTGTTACTTTATTTATTTGCCTGAATCTCTTTTTCTTTTAGTGCAGTCTCCTGTTTACCTTGTTTTGTAGATGTACACTTTATTGTTTATTAGATATGTATAGAGAAGAAGAGAAAATAATCGTATTGTTCAATATTCAATATTCCATCTTTGGCAGATGCCAGTGGCTCACGTCTGTAATCCCAGCTATTCAGGAGGAAGAGATCAGGAGAATCAAGGTCAAAGCCAGTGTGGCCAAATAGTTCAGGAGATCCTATCTTGAAAATAACCATTGCAAAAAGGGCTGGGGTAGTGCCTCAAGGTGAAGGCCCTGAGTTCAAGCAGCAGTACTGAAAAAAAATCCATCTTTGCCCAGAAATATGTTACCCCTTTCCTTAAATTTTTATGCATTTATTGTCAGTTTTCAAGAAGCAAGCAATATGTTTGAAATTTAGATTACTCATCAACTTCATGAGGAACTTTATTAAATTTAACTTTATAAATTAGCACTACCACGAGATTTCTTCCTAAAAGAGCTTCCTCTTATGTCTTCTGCTTATTTTACTGTACCTTCTAGGCTGGTTTCCTACCTATGTTCTGGGATTTCCAAGGTGTATTTTAAAGTAAGGATACCGTAGATCAAATTCCTAAGAAAGATTTCATGGGAGATTAATTCTTTGAGCATGGGCATATCAAGAAATGTATTTATTCTGCATTTTTACTGCTTATCTGGTTGCATTGAAAATTCTAGGTTAAAAATCTTATTCCTTCAACTTTTCCCAGAAACCAAGCAAATCTTTTGATTCCTTTGTCTTTACATGTGACTTCTGTTTGGCTTTGGTGTGTGTGTGCATGTATTTAGTTTTTTCTGTATGTTTATTTTCTGTAGTTGATGTTTTGTGTGTGTGTTCAGTATACTCTACTAGACCATTGATATTGTTTTAGTTTAAAAATCATATGAGAAATATTTTCTAATTCTGATTTGATAACATGTCAATTTAAATAGCCCCTGAATTTC